TAAATTACAAACTATTAATATCTAGTCCAAGTTAAAAATAAAAATTGTTACATATAATAAAATGTAGCTAATTATATGAACTAAGCTTGTAAGGAAAAAATTCGCTACCAGATTAAAAAACCCTTACAAGTAAAAAAGTAAAGAAAAAAGAAAAAGAAACAAATACTCTAATTAATATAAAGAAAAAAAGAATATGACAAAATATAAAAATATTATGCTATGCAAAAACAAAAATAGGTACCCTTATGTTTTGCAAATTCAGACCTCAGGATCGACCTCAGAGCAAAGACCTTGTATAACACAAAACCTATCTTAATATAAAACCTTTTTGCCCCCTTTGCTTCATCTTCAAAGTACAGTAATATAATATCAATATATAGGTATCCATATATGTATAGTACAAAAAGATCTATTTATATAACTTTAAAGTTTTATAGTATAATATTTTAGTTACAACTAGCGATTTCAACAAAAAAAAGGAAAAAAAAAGTAGTTTTAATATTTTATGTCTTTATTAAAGATATCTTCTTACTATTATTATTGTTAAGAAATGATTGTGCCTTAAAAAAGATATCATATATTTCTTCTAATTTAATAACAATATCTTTTTTTTTTCTAAAGGTATATTATTTAAGTCGATTTTTTAATGAAGTTTTCCTATTTGCATTAACTATTAATCTATATGACAATTTATCTTATTTATCTGTTTTTCTATATCATCAATGATGATAATATTATTATCAGCCTACTCATTATAAGTTTGGATATCATTATTATTAGCAAGCAAGTAGGTTGTTTGCTTTGGCATTTTAATACTATATTTTTGAGAAACTACAAAAATATGCTTACAAGGTTCTAGATTTCTTCAATATGCTTCACAATTGCAGATTAAGGTTAATTCATTATCTCCAGTTTTTTGAATTGTGTAATCATCCTCACCTTCAGTCAACCTAATAATAAATGTAGATTCATCTAAACAAAAAATAGAACTTTTAACAATACTAGTTGAATTTATTTCAAATTTCCACATGATTTTTTGATAAGGACCCATTCGTACAATTCCCATTTCATATTGAATAATTTCTTCTTAGTAATCAGACAATATTTTTAGAGCTAATTCATGAATAAGATAATCAATTCATCAGTTAATACATGTCATAAGGTAGAGTATTTGATTTTTTTGTAGTAAGCTTCTATATAGTTATTTGTATTAATTCTCTGAACTTTATCATGATGATAGCATTCTATTCATATTTCTAAAATTTATGATATTATATCATTATAGATTATAAAATATCTAATAACAAATTGTAATATAAAAAATAAATAAAAAAAAAACCTTTTTTGTGCTGATATTAAGAATTAAAATACTGCAATGCATAAGTGTTTTTCCATTTTTGTTTAAACTGAACTAGAACAGAATCTACTCTATTTATATCTTTGGTATAGAGTAGCTGTTCGAGGTTATGATACAAATTATCACATTGATCTTTTTCTATTTTTTTAGTAATCTACCAGAGCCAAGCATGTTTAATGTACTACCAGCACAAAAAAATATTTGATATAGAAAAACCTCACAAATAGCATTTATTTCTGCATTATCATTATCTAATATTACATTCACTAGATCTATCCATTGCTCTGATTTTAATGTATGAAGCCATGCTCTAATTGATTTGCAATCACTGGATTCTGTTAGTAGCCATGCTAATAGAACACCACGGCCACTATAGGGATGATAAATTAAAATTGTAAATAATGCATATTTATAGCAATTCGTATTGTATGTAGAGTCTATATAAATAATCTAAAAAATAGATATATAGTTAAAATCATTATTGAAATAATTAAATTTAAAATTAATATATAAATTTTATTTTTAGAACAAATTAACTATGAAGCTAAGAACTGATTTTATATAGTTTTTAACACATAAAAATTATAATTTTTCAAATAAAGAAAAAAAGGTACTTCATAATGTTTGCAATAAAGTTTGAATTGCCATAGAGTGTAGAACCCAAGTTGAAACTTTTGATTACTATCAGGAACTTGAAACTTTTAATTACCATCAGAAACTTGAAACAATAAAAGGACAGGGTTATTTAAATTGTTAGGTATGTTTTTATTTTCTCTTAAAATATCAGCCCATTGTCAAATACTTTTTATATCATAACTATCATACTGATACTTCATATGAATTTCCTTATATATAATATTATATATATCTTCATATATTAACAATTTGTCTCTGCTTAGAACAATATCACTAGAGGTAAAATAACTAAATATATAATTCATAATTATTATAAAATAAGAATTAAAAAAAAAAAAAAAAAAAAAAAAAAACCTTTCAGTTACTTTTGTAAGTTTTTTCATTAACTGGCAAATAGCTGAAAGAAATAGTCCTTGCTATGCAAATTTTTTAATTTCAGTAATGATTTCTTCTGATTTCTTTAAATATTTAATATCAGCACAACTACCAAACATATGCCCATTATGCTTATACCAATAATGTATTATAACTACTTCAAGAAAATTGGTCAAATTATAATGAACTCGTAAGGTACAATTACAACTGACTTTTTTGGATTCTTTTTGAATTTGCCATTTTTTGTTTGAATTTCTCCTTCTACATAGTTATTTCATATACATTTACTACTTGTGTATGAGCAATAATAGTATTCTGACCAAGAACCTTTTTCATTTTTATTTACATAAGTTCTATGTTTTTTTATAAAATTAATATTTTTAGACTTTTCTTCTTTTTTTATCTGATTATGATAGGCAAGAAGAAGTAATACAAATTTAATAAAATCATCTTTTTCATCAAGAATGTATAATAATCATGTATTAGAAGAGGTTTGGGTATAATTAATGAATGTATTTATGATTTCTTGTGTTCTAATATTATTATCATTAAGGTCCGGCGATCTTAGTGTAGTGGTTAGATTGTCGGACCGCCATGCAAGAGGTCTAGGGTTCAAATCCCACTGTATACAGAATTGAATAATTACCTAGACATCTGT